TATGTTCCCCACTAGTCTGTGTGTGAAGGCAGGGACAGGGTCTGCTTTGCTCATGAGTGCCTAAGACTCAGCCTGGCACATGATAGATGCTCATTAAATACCAGGGAGCCAAAAGCTTTGTTCTTTATGGTTTAGAAGTTATGGGTCTTATTTTAATCTAAGTTTTTTTTTGTATTAAATTCTTTTATTGGTACATTGTAGGTATACAACACAATTACATTTCTCATTGGGAATTGTACCTTTACATAATGCATCTTGGTTCTTATTTTTTCCCCATTCCTAGCCCTCCCTTCACGCCCTCCACCCTTCCCTATTTACAAAGACTTTATTTCCATTTTTTCCATTTCTCATCATATTAATCTAAGTTTTAACCTGAGATTGTCAGTCTTTTTTTTTGCTGGTATGACACCTTGGCTCTCTTCATTAGTACATTTAGTTTTTACACACATCGTCAAGGCCAAACAAAGGAGAAATGGGGCTAAATAAACAGGCGAAATTTTTCCTGACATAACAAGTAAGTCTGGGGAGAATAGAAAATTTTCTCCAAGGGGAAGATCAGAGAATCGGTAACAACGCTATTGTAAATCTCAGACACGGGCAGATGCTCCATTTAAAACACTGTAGTATTAATCTATGATTACGGTCTTTCTCATTTCTCACATTTGGAAAGCAAATGCATAGTGTTGCTGTGACTTTAGATTACAATGCTCTATGGAGGCTTTGAACCAAGGTCACTCAAAAGGAGAAAAGCTGCACTAGAAAGTGTAGGCAAGGAAACAGGCTCGCAGGAGGCTAAACTTTCTGTTCTCTGACGTCAGTTGGGTATGTCTGTTTCCACGTAAAGCTGCCGAGCCCTATTTCCACAGAGTTCCCCGATTCACTAGTCCTCAGGAAAACTTCTCAGCATCTAAGCCTCTACCCGGAGAGGCAGCTAAATGAATAGGGTCTTCTTCAGTGCAGCCAGTGAAGGGTGGGTGATGAACACATCCATTGCTGAAAATGCTAGTCGGTTTGTAGCTCTTTTCTCCCAATGGAGTTGAGACTAAAATTGCTGTCACCCAGTGAGTGTTGTGGGGCTTGGGAGGAGATATAAGACCATTTGAGACCCACAGACTAAGATTCTGGACCTAACTGTCCATATGGCTCACAAAGGAGCTCTACATATAGCTCCCTGGAATGGGGAACACTGGTCCAAAGCTACCAGTTACAGATTATTAATTAAGCCACACAGAAAACTCTGGGAGTATGTAACAGGCAGCTCTAACTAGTGCAGAAGCAGCTTGCCTCAGGAATAGCAAGTCACTCATCCGAGGAGCCTCATTTTCCTCTCTGTGAAATGGGTTTAATCGTGGTCTATGGGAAGAGGATTGCTTTGCAGAACAACTGGCCCAGTTCCTGTGAGGTTGGTGTCAGCTGAACTCCCCCTTCTTCCTTGGGCTATGGGTTGTGGAAGGCACAAAGCCGAGGGCTGGGAGGCACAGTTGTGAGCCAGACGGTACAATCAGGGCCCTGTAGCTGAGTCCTAATTTTAAAGAGGGTTGGCACGGTGGGAAAACTGTTTCCTTCCACTTTGGAGGCTTGGTTTGTTAGAAGCAGGGCCTAGAGGGAATCTCTAGGCCCATTAGGAAATTCAAATACTGTCTTGGGTACAATGCAGACTTCAGCAGGTCTGTTTTTCCTCCAACTAAAGGCACTTGAGAGCACTGGGAGCAGAGGTAGAGATTCCTACGAGAAAGACATTGAAAAGGCAAAGGAGAAAAGCAGAGCTCGAGGCTGCCTAGCTCCAGATTGCTGAGGTCTTTAAGAAAAAAAAAGAAAGCCAGATCATAGGCTTTGCTTGTGACTGTGGATGGCTGGCAGCTCGGAGGGCAGGCACATCTCTGCAGCCCCAAATCTGGGCATCTATGAGCAGCACCTAGTCCACCAGGGGCCAAGCCGCCCCAGGATTTTGGGTGGGCCTTGCTTAGTAGGTGGCATGATGAGGAGTGGCCCTACACAGCCCCAAGGAGTCTCAGCGGCCCCTTTGCAACATAGGCCTGTCACTAATCCACCTGCTGTTTTCTTCATTTGCTGCTTAATGGCTTTTCTTCCTGTGCCATCTGGGACTCTGACAGGAGCGAGCCACCCCTCCCCCGAGGGCATTGCCCGACTCTGCACCACTTGTGCATTTGGTCCCCAGATTTTGCGTCACAAAACCCCAGATTGCGGCACAACCGAACCTCAAGCCTTTAAGCTGTGGGGAAGTGGTCATGGCCAATGCCACTGCGTTCCAGAGCTTAGTAATTTTATTCAAAGCTACCCGGTTAGATGGAAATTGAAAATAAACCCATTCACTAAATTCTAAATTGACCCTTTGGGGCCGGGGATTTAGCTCAGTGGTTCTGCCCCCTGCCTCACAAGCGCAAGGTCCTGAGTTCAAGCCTTGACACCAAAAATAAATAAATTAATTAATTAATTAATTGACCCTGTGGCTGGCTATAGTTGTTGAGCTTCAGTCTTGTCCTTTTTCTTAAAACCAGATTGTAGTAAGGTACTAGGTGTCAATGATTATATTAAGGATTAAAAAAGAAGCAATTTACTAACATGTCTACCTTCCCCTAGAATGATTTCACAGACACCTTGGTATGTGTCTCACTTGTGAGGCAATAGTATCTGCTAGAGGTGGAGGAGACATTAACCATGGAGGTCCTAAAAAGATTAGGCTAAGAAGGATCTATTGGAGGTAAGACCTTTTCTGCCTCTGGTCATTGTGGAGTAGCTACAGCCAGGCCAAAACAGCTAGTGGGGTTAGATGTGCATCTTCCTGTCATTGTCCCTGATGTCCATTCAGTTCATTCAGCTGCCTTTGAGGTGCCCAAATATCTATGTGCTTGGGATTCTTCAGGCAACAATACACAAAGAAAGTCTCTGAGCTCATGAGACCTATGTTCTAGTGGGGACACGGAAAGTAAATCATTCACATCATAAAGAGAAAATAATAGAGTTTATACCACTTTTGTCCTCATGGCACCTTTATGAAATAGGCAGGGCAGTGTTCTTAAATGATGTTAATGATGAGAAAACTAAGGCTCAGATCGGTTAGTGACTTCCCCAAGGCCACAGTGCTGGCAGAAGCAGGGTGAATGTCTGATCTCCAACACTTAGCCCAGGGCCCTTTCTATGAAACTTCCCCTGGGGGGACTTGGGGACTGATTAGAAGAACAAGACTTGAGTACAGGGCACTGTGCCTGACATTTAGGGGTACCCAATAAATATCTGAGTACGCATTTATTGAAACTTTGTGTGCCTGGCACTGTTCTACATCCTGGTGCAAAAAATAGACACAATCCCTGATGGAACTTAGAATTTAGTGGGGAGGAGATTGTTATTCATAAGACACTATATAAATATTGTCACTTTTTTTTTTTTTTTTTTTTGGTACCAGGGATCAAACTTGGGACCTTGCGCTTGCAAGGCAGGCGCCGTAGCCACTGAGCTAAATCCCCGGCCCCGACACTATATAAATATTAACATCAGTAAAAATTTACACATTTGTCCACATCGTAATCTAGTCAGATAGCCCTGCATATACAATCTAAGCTTTAGCATTTTTTTCATTCATTAAGTGTATATTGAGTGCCAGAACTATATACATAGAGGCAAAACTATAGTTCCATTTTTAATTTTTTCTAGGAACGTAGTGTAGTCCTCTTGTCATGGATTGGTTTTCTGTATATTATAAATAATAAATTAAACATTGGGATTTATACAAAAACTTTGCGTGAAATTGCAACTTGCATAAGATTTCTATATTTTTGGTGCTCAAATGTAAAGTGAGTAATTCTGTAAATGGTGAGTGTACATTTGCAGTAAGACCGATTAAGCTTGTGTTTCAGATGAATGAATTCACAATCCCACCAAGCCCAGCTGATGAATATAGAAAGCGAGACGAGAGGGGATAAACAGCCTTCCAGGGTAGGTGGAAGGAAGAGAGAATGGCAGGTAGGCAGATGTGTGGCTAGGACAAGCCACCTCTTCTGTAGAGTTTAGGTTACTTCATTTGAGGAAAAGAACTTGTAAGACAGTTCATTCCGCCAAGAGGATCTACGCGTCCATCACACACAGCCTTGGGTGATGCTAACCTCCCTGCCCTGCAACCCCTGGGGACCCCTGCTTCCTCCTCCTGCAGTGCTTGTCCCCGCTGGACAGATTTGTCCCCAAGACTTAGCAAGGTCATTTAGGAACCGGACAGCATGATGTCTGGCACATGGTAAGTGTTTGCTGAACATTAGCTATTATTATTATTGTGATTTTTTAAATTTCATTTTTCTTTTGAATAAAAATAGTCTGTATTGGAAACTGCTTTTGAGGTTCAAAGCATGGGTTCTTCAGAATATCTGCCTGATAGAGGCAAAAGACACAGTCAGCTATAAACCACTGTATTGTACTCTGCAAAATCAAGTAACTAGTTGGTGCTTAGTAAAACTCTCCTTAGGGCCTTCCTTTGAGTTTTGCCTTCTAGCTGTGGGTGATAACCCATTTTACTCTAGCTAAGAACTGCTGGGAGTTTTGCATAATTCTCTCCAGGAGCTGACAGGTGAGACAGCCCACCTGTCCTTGGTCTTATGCTTGGTCTTCCAGCATAAGAGTTATAGCCGGCTGCCCCAGCAGACCTGGCTCCCTGGGATGCTTGACTAGGTTCATTCTTCATCATCCTTCCTTGGGCCAGTCTGGGCCCAGCTCAGGAGTCCAGCCTGGCTTCCACCTGCCCTACCCAGCACTCCTGTGCTTCTACTCAGGCTCACAGTATCAAGGACTGGCCCTGGAGCCCACAGCAGGCTCCTTTGGCTTCCTGGGAAGAGGGTGGAGTGGGTGGGGAGTGAGGAACATGTTCTCCTATGTTCAATAAGAACATACACCTTCTTGTAGGTTAGCTTGGTTATAACTTTTAAATACACAGTATATGGGCTTCCATTTGTTCTCTTGGACTCAACTTATAGGTTTAGGGGCAGGCTTGCTTACTACCATCCCTTTATTCTCCTCTGTCCAATATAATCTCATAGGTCTGTTGGATGATTGATGGGTTACAATCTTAAGGTATAAGAGACTATTGTGATCAACACAATGGCCCCCTTTCCCACCAGCTTCAGGACTCATCATCATGTCACCTGATTTCCTAGACAGTTGGCTGGATTAGTATATATTTTTATCATGGGGACCATATCATCAAAAATAATTCTGAGATACGTGCTGGATAGAGCCTGGGAATTTCAATGTGAAATATTATATTCAGTGTGACTATATCCATAGAGGGATGATCAGTCATGTTTGAATTTATTCATTAGCATATTACTTATTGCTGTGTTATGAATAATCCACACCCACACAAATTAAGAAAGCAATATTTAGCATCTCACAGTTTCTATAGGTTAGGAATTCAGATGGGTCCTCTGCTGTAGAGGGTCCCAAATTGCCAAGGCTGCTTCTCAAGGATAGACACTTCCCAAACTCATTCATGAGGTGGCTGGGAGGAGTAAATTCTTAAGGGAAGCTGGGCTGAGTCTCAGTTTCTTGCTCTCTATTGGATGGAAGACACCTCCAATTCTCGCCCATGTGGATGTCTTCATAGGGCGGCTCAAAACGTGGCAGTTTGCCTTATCGGAACAAGAAGACACGACAGGGAATATAAGTAAGATGGAAGTTGTGGCCTTTTTGACATGCTCAGAGCTGTCACTTCCCTTTTGCCGTGTTAAGTGCCTTAGGACACGTTACCATGTCCAGGTTGCATCCAAGGGGAGAGCATTAGACAAGAGCAAGAACACCAAGAGCTAGGACCACTGGAATCAATGTAAGAAGGCTGCTACCAGAGTTGGTTTGTTTGTCCATTCAGCCGCTCTGGAGCTTTTTCGGCACTGGGCTAGGCACGGCCTTTTTCAACTCCAGCACTGCTTTATCTCAGTTATTCAGAACAAAATTTCACACTACTTGGCGAACTATTGATTAGAAATTCAGATTAGCATCATGACTGCTTTTGTAACTTATACATTCCCACTCTCTTTGAGAGAACACATATTAATTATTTTTCATTCTCATGTCTATAGAAAATCCTCTTCTTGATTTAAAACAAAATGTTTCAATCATTGAATCACTGAGGCACTGAAGGAATAAATAATGCAACTATATACCCAAAACAGAATAGATAGGGAAAGAAATCTGTTTAGATAAATATGTCAACGTAGGTGAATTCACCTAACCAAATTATGGTTATTTCATTAACTGTCCAATCGAAATTCCTAATCCTCGTTTTATTTGCTGAGTTAAATTTGTTTAACATGAAGCCCTGACATCTTCTAAAATAATTATGCTTCTAAATGAAAGTTTAATTTTTAATCATTTGCTTTGCTAACACAGAAACAAATGAGAGGATAATATGACAATTTAAAGGATTTGCAATGGATCCCCCAGAGCAGGAGAGGCATGCATTTTTCCCAGGTGCTGCTGACTAATGGAGGAATTTAAAATACAGTAATAGAACTGCTTCCTCCTAATATTTGCTTCTTTGATGAAAATGAAGCCGGAGGGAATTAGAAGCCAATAGAGGCACAGCAAGTCAATGCTACCTAATCAATCATGGGCCTTGAGGGTGACTACTGTCTTCTTCCATGGTGCAGTTCTCTGGTGGATTTCTGGACTCTACATTCAGGACACTGCAGTGCAAGTCTCATTATGAAAAGAAGCCAATTCCCGGTGAAACAGAATGAAACAGTTTTCACCTGAGAGCAGAAGAGGTAGATGCTTTTGTATATTTGCCAGTAATGAAATCTATACACCAGGCGGGACTGGTTAGTTCCTTTCAGCTCTTGGCTAAGTGCTGTGATTTTTAGTTTGTTTGCTTTTCAAAGCACTTTGAGCAGTTGAATGTAGTATCTTTCCAGTCCAGGTTAAGCACATGCATTTGTTTAAGAGATATTTTAAATCAGAATTACCAAACGAGGAGCAGAGAACAGTCACTTTTCATTAACAATTCTCTCATCTAAATAATGGGTCTGACGAAGGAGCTCTCTTCACTGCAACACACGCTTGCAAGTCATGCAGCTTTCTCCTTGCAGGACTGCTGAATTGTACTGACTCCTTACCTCCTTACATTCTTCATTGCTTCACACACCAGAGGACACAATTTTCAATCCTACATGCACTTATTCCTCAAAATAAAACGAAAAAGGCATAGAAGGAAATACACTGGTGATTCCCTTTTGTCAGGCTGCTTCACGCATTAGGCTCAGAGATGAGAGCTCATTTCACCCTGGCCCCGACTTGCAATCTATATTTTGTTTGATTAAGTGCCCCTGGTCCTTTTAAAATCAGTGAGAGTGCAGTGACATTCACAGTGGTCAGAGCCTTCAGGAGTTCATACCTGACTTTTTTACAGCTTACGCTCATTATTATTTATAACAAAACTAACCTATAGTAGTACTAATATAAATCAAAGTGAAAGAAAAAGTTCATCCACACTCTTAATCGCCTTGGTTTCATTTTTCAAATTCCTTCCCAAGTCTCTATTTACAGTTGTATCTTTACACAGTAGTAATATTATGTTAGTCAAAATTTCATGTATTACTTTATTGATTGAGGGAATGATGAATCAATTGATTATAGTACTGGGAATTGAACTCATGGTCTTCACACTGAGGTACAACCCCAGCTATTTCTAACCTTTAATTTTCTTATTTTGAGACAGGGTCTTGCTAAGCTGGGCAGGCTGGGCTCAAACATGTGGTCCTCTTGCTGCAATCTCCCAGAGTGCTGGGACTGTAGGTATGTGCCACATGTTCAGCTACACTGTATTTTGCTTTTCAATGTAAGCTGTCATATCCATTTTTCAGTATTTCACTGTATTCTTCACAGTTAAAAATGTTAATATCAGAATAATATTCCACGGAATGGTTCAAAGAGGTATGTCACCGGGGCCCCCCTTTTGGGGGGATATTTTCCTCCCCAGATCCTCCCTTCTTGCTCTACTTCTTGGCTGCCATGAGGTAAGCAGTTTTCTTCCACCTGGCCCTTCCGTCATGTTACTTCTGCCTTGGAGCTGGCTGACCATGGACTAACCCTCTTAAAATCATGGACCAAATTGAACCTCTGCTTCATTAAGCTGTGGGTGTCAGGTATTTTATCTCAGCAACAGGAAAGTTGACTGATATAGACTGTACACAGGGAATCTCATGGGGATTTCTGCTCTTCAGGACCATGAAATTAATGTGAGTGTTGTTTTAAGCTGCTAAGCTTGTGATAATTTGTTACAGAAGAAAGTAAACTAATACAAGGATGTAGAAAGAAATTTGTTATATATAGCAGAAATTATTTTTCACCACCTTGCTGGGCTTCCGAGATTTCATGTGTAACAATTGCCAATTGAAGTCCACGGAGTCTGAATGTTTTGGCTGCTGGTGCCTTGTACTCTGCTTTAACTGGTTGAGTCATATGCTCCCAGTTATGCAGATAGTTCATTGTGTTGGTTAACGTAATTATATGCTTATATGTCTCTGAGTACTATGTCAACAGAGGACATAGGAGAGTGAACATGAAGAGAGCTGGTCTTTCTATAAAGACGGCATTGAACACTCAAAAGACTAGATAAATAAATGGCTATCACAGAAAAATGCTATGGAATTAGATGGATGAGGAAATTAAAGGGCCAGAAAAGAACTGCACATGTGTAGAAGACTTTCAGATTCAGATGACTCTGTGAGCATCTCTAAATTCTTCCTCCATGTTAAAGAATTTGAGACTAGTACTTGTACGCAATGCATTAGGAGGACAGCTTCTATAAGAATGCTCCCCTGAACAGTGCTGGGCCACAGGTAAAGCTTCAGAAGTGGTAGGCAAAGACACATGGCCTTAAGTTAAAATAAGATTTTTCATGCATTGGTTTTATCATATTTGATGATTCCTCATGTTACCTGACTTTTTTGAACTGACAAACTATGTAGTAAGTCACTGGGGAGAGTTATATTAAGTATGTGCATGCACACATATACAATTCACAGAAGGTGTATTAAGCAAGTTATAATAAAATCATGAGGTAAGAATTTTGCTTTTTGCAAAAAAAAATCATGTTCTTTAAAAAATGGGAAAACTGATGATAGTTATATTTGAGTGGTGGGATTTTGTTATTTTCTACAGCACAAATGTATTACTTGTGAAATTAGGTAACAAAAGAAAGTAATAATAATAATAAAAATAAAAATAATAGAATACCTTCCAGCCGTCCCTTCAAGGACAAGGTCCAGTGTTTTTTTCCTGATGTTTTTCTCCATTCCATAAACTTTCATAAACCACTTGTGTGTTTATCATCCCATAGCGCCTTCTTATTATTTCTAGTTTTGCACGAACTAGTTCTGATATGTAGCATGGCCAAATGGGTCTTTCCCTCTGATCTGAGAGGAGGGAGCATGACTTGTAAATATCCGTATTCCATAACACCAGGCAAAGTTCCTGCCATCTAAAAGGTACTCATCAAAGGAGTGAATGAATGAATTGTGTTCTGGTGTAGTCACCAATAACTCAGAGACTTAAAGAATGATTTTGAGAAAGGTCTCTTGGCATCCTTTGGTAGACAGTTTTAAATTCATACTCTGGTCTACGTGATCCCGATCATGTGTTTTAGCATCTTTTAAAATCTGAAAGCAAAGGCCATATGTCCAGTCCTCGAGCAAAGGCTTTCTGGAAAAAGGAGAACAGCTTTCAGAAAAATAAAGGGAAACTGGGCACTGAGCATGCAGGCACCATCCAGACGGGAGCCAGGTTCTGAAAGAATTCTCAAATTCTCCCTTTGTTCTGCATCTAGTATACCTGTGAGCAAGCTCCTCACTTGTGAAGGGAGCACTTGAGAAGAATTTGCCAGCTTGCATCTTTTGCAAGCAGACTAGGCCATCCTGATTTTGCTGTGTGATTGCTGGAAACGGAGTGGTCTATTAAACAGTAATGGTCACTGCCTGACGGATTTGCTTCTTGCAACATTAGTGTCATGGTGATGGATTAGCATTATCTCCAAAGTGGAAAGGCATGTTTCCTCTAATGTTTTGTATAAAGATGATTTCTTTAACAAACATTGCTCATTTTACTATCCTTTAACATTTTTTTTTGCCAGTTTGCCTGGGTTGTACATCTTCTAGTACACATATGGCCCTCGCCAGAAAGCTCTAAGTGATTCTGGGAGGGCCAGAGGAACCTTGGTGTTGTCTTATATTCATGTTTACAGTTTCCTTTCTGTTTCTGAGCTGCCTGCTAAAGGGGGAGGGAAGGCAAGAACCACAAGGCAGGGCCAAGCAACCTCATTGTTTTAGAGAAGCCCAGGAAGGGATATCTTTTTTACTTCTAGTAAGTCTATTTGGTGATTTGAAGACTCCTTGCTCCCGTCTCATCTTTCACTGAAAAACTAAATAATTGCTTCTTATGTTGCTGCCTGACATCCGAAAGAACCAAATCAAGAAATGCGCCCGGCTACCATTCCACCGCTCCTAGGGCAGAGGAGGTGAGTAACACGGGCGCCAACAGCAGCCCCCCCCCTTCCGAAATGAGAAGACAGGTAAACAAGCCTCAAAAACAGACTTCCAGATCACCTACAGCAACCCCAAAGGGAAATGAGATGGAA